CAATAATGGAGTGTGGGAGTCATGACTCCCCAGAAGCCCCCTTGCTCCGCCCATCCTCATTTCCTACTGGCTTCAGATCCTCAGGGCACTGGCACTGGGCTGAGGGGCCGGGGCACAAGGCCTCTCGCATAGAAGAGTTTCACCCAATATAATCGTCTGCTAGAGCTGCCATAACAAAACACCCTAGATGGGGTGGCTTAACCAATAGAAATTCATTTTCTCACAAGGTGGGAGGCTGGACGTCCAAGATCCGTAGGTTTGGTTTCTCCTGAGGCTTCTCTCCTTGCCTGGATGGTAGCCACCTTCTTGCTGTGTCTTCACGGAGTCTTTTCTCTCTGATACCCATCCTGGCGTCCCTCTGTGTCCTAATCTCCTCTTCTCACAGGGACATCAATCTTAATGGATTAGGGCCCACTCTGGTAGCCTCATTTTAACACAATCACCTCTTCAAAGGCCTTCACTCCAAATAAAGTCAGATACTGAGGTACTCGGGGTTAGGGCTTCAATATATGAGATGGGAGGCACAATGCATTCCATAGCACCTAACAATCAGTGACAAGCTGGCATCTTTAAACTGGGAGGAGGGGAGAGGAAAGGGGGAGAGACAATGAACCGCATAGGAAGATGAGCCAAATCCAGGACATATTAAGCACACTCCATGGACAAGGAATTACATGTATATTTAATTAGTTAGGCACTAGAAAAGGAAACTGAGATCGCTGATAACCAACCCTATGAACAAACTGGGTGAAATCAAAGGCTAGATCACAGGTGACATTAAAATCTCCCAATATTCAGTCTCCTTTAATTAGGGCAGAGAAGATTGCTACCTTCACAGAGTGAAGGGTTGCAGAGGGCACACCTCGATAGGCATTAGTCTTAAACAGACGCAGGTAAGATAAAGCACAGGCAGCGACAGAACTCTGCCACAGTAGCTCCATGGGAGGGAAGTGCTTTTTGCACCAGGATAATCTGCTAAAGGCGTCCCTTATTTCATTGGCCAATAGCTTAAACAATCGTACATTAGAACCTGCTTCCTAGGAAATCCACGGCCCATGGACAAAACCCTCGGGAATCCAATTCTGACTTTCTTCCACAAACCCAGAAAAAGGCTCCTTAGAGAGAAAGCAAGGAGAAAGGGAAACATGGGGAAAAGAGAAAGAACAATAGAAAAACAAGAGTGTCCAGAGTAAGTCTGGCACCTACCGCAGGGTGTGCTCAGCAATGCGAGGGGACAGAGCAACCGGGAGGAGGCAGCTTCCCAGGCTCTGAATGAGGCTGTCACCAGGTGGCTTCCTTCTGGCTTGATTCGTGCTGAGTTCTTCAAACCATGAGGTGCAGGTAAAGTGAGCATTAGCACATGGAGACAAATGGCTACCATGCACACATTTCAAGAAAGGTTTGTTCAATGGGCCCAGGCATAAAGGATGCCTTGCCCAGTGCTCAGTTTCACCTCAACCCTGAACACAAAACAACTTGAATCCAACTGATCGTGAAGCCAAAACCAGAAGATCTCAGGCTGTTCCAGATTGGAAATGCTATGATTGTCCCTTTGGGGAGTCCTCAGTGAGGCATTGAAGAATCGTAGGGCCATGCCAAGGTTACTAGCTTTACCGGTTCACCGAGACAGCCCTGTTGTGTGACAACCTCTGCCTGCTGGGTTTTGATGGTGAGTAAGGGGGTCTGGAACGTAGCTAATGTTATACTGGGAAGTGTTTTTGCAATTTACTTGTAAATGACTGTTTTCCTACTTAGCTGTTGGACTTTACTATGTGAAGGACCATTATTTAGTAAAAATGATATGTAATTTAAAATTAATCCATATTTGAATAAAGTCTGTTGATTAGTTATTATTGGGGCAATATGAATCTCCTAATTTTGATCATTGTATTCTGGTTATATAAGATATGAATATTTGGAAATGTTGGGTGAAGGGTATTTTTGGAATTCTTTGAGAATTTTTTTGCATATTTTTATAAGTGGAAATGACTTAAAAATAAAAAGTTAAAAGAATGTTTTTAAAGATTTAAAAAGGTAAATCATAGGGTCTGACAATCTATCCATAATTTGTGCCCAGGGGGCCTTGACCCATAAAAAAAAAAAGTACTCCTTCAGCCTCTCTCCTTTGCTGCCAAAGTAAATCCGCTGTTGGCCAGATGAAATAACAAATATGGAAGTTTTTGCTACAGTAAACTCCTAAACAAATGGTAATGGTAATTACTACAGTCTCGTGTGGAGATGTTTTTCTATAAATAAAGGGACAAACAAGCCATTATCCTAAATATGCTAGCAGTATTACAAAATGCTTAGAAATTGCTATCCTGGCAGTAGGCAACATGGAGTCATTGGCAGTTTTGAGCAACACAGGCACAGAGTAACAGCAATACTGCAGGAAGCTTCACAGGCCTCTCGCACAGAGCGGGGTTCAAGTGGGAAGAGACCAGACTCAGCCGCTGGGAACTATTCTCACAACCGAGGAGGGAGCAATCTCACAGACTGGAAGGAAGAACTCTAGACCACAGGCATCTTGAAGGACTCACGGGTCTGGGAAGGACGAGCCTGGCGTGTGGGCAGAAAGAGAGAAGTGAGTCAGTGGTTACTTGAAGATGTCTCACCAAGATTGAGGCAATGCGGTGATGTCATTGAGAGACAGATGGAAAATGGAAGGAAGGCGACAACACACACAGAGACTGGGCTGAGAACTCAAGTGGCTGCCGTGGCCAGGCAGGTGCAAAGGGGGAAGACAGGCCTTGGGGGCTGAGCGACCAGAGAGGGTGCCTCCGAGGGCACTGACACAACTTGGCAACATCAGCAGTCCTTGCCCTATGGTGTCCGTGTTATCCGATCTTCCTTTTTTTTTTTTTTTTTTTACAAGAGAATCCAGAAGTCCAGCTCTGTTATGGGAAACCTCTTAATTCTTTAGTGTTGGCAATTAATTTAAAAAAATTTTGAAGCACGGTGTATGCCAAACCAAACACATCTGTGGGCCAGATTCTGCAGGCAAGCATTCATTGTGACCTCTGACAAAGAGATGAGGTCAAGGGTTAGAGTTCACAAACTATCCTGATGAGATACGTGACCGAAAGGTATTTAGTAACTAAAAAACTAATAGCAAGGCTTGTACCAGGAATCTGACCTGTATGAATGTCCCTTACCCTTCAAGCCTATATATGGGTTTGAATGTATACAGGAAGTTGGATCTAAACCGCCAATGGTTAAATCACAAGCATTTGTGTGCTTACTGTGTGTTCGCTGCGTTGCACACAAGTCAGGGGATTTCAAATCTACTGGGGAAGAGATTACGTGCCCTCCTGAACACTTGAGACAACTTAAAGAAACAATAATTTCTCTGTGGGAGATGGCTTTGTCCACATTGAGCTAGAGGCTATCCATCACTTGAAATCCTGGATTCTTCCCCCAGCCCTATCACGACAGCTCCGGGAGTCCAGAGAGGAGGAAAGCCTAGCAATAATGCATATACGTGTGTGTGAGTGTGTGTGTGTGTGTGTGTGTGTGAGAGAGAGAGAGAGAGAGAGAGAGAGAGAAAGTGTGTGTGTGGTTTGTGAGTGTGTGTGTGCGTGTGTGTGTGTGTATGTGTGTGTGGAGAGAGAAAGTGTGTGTGTGTGTGTGTGTGTGTGTGTGTGGAGAGAGAGAGAGAGAGAGAAAGTGTGTGTGTGTGTGTGTGTGTGTGTGTGTGTGTGTGTGTGTGGAGAGAGAGAGAGAGAGAGAGAGAGAGAGAGAGAGAGAGAGAGAGAGAGAAAGTGTGTGTGTGTGTGTGTGTGTGTGTGTGTGTGTGTGTGTGTACTTGAATCTGTGACCAGATTTCTAATGTCCTGGGCAGCTGTGACCAAGCCCCAGCCTCTACCATCCTCTCCCTTGGGAGGGGCCCTGGCTGGGCTGGGGGTAGGGGTACCTGGGCGCCGAGTTGGAGGGTAAGAGCTCCGGCGGGAACCGCGCCCCGTCCAGTTTCTCCGCTGTAGCCCAGTGTTTTGTGTCTGTCATTGCTCTTGAAGGGTTCTTGTAGGAGAAGGCAGGCACCGAAATAGAAAGTGTCAAAGCGCTGGTGACAAGGAGGATACACAAGGCCGGCCTTCTCTCAGCCCCACCGAGCCCGCTCCGGCCAGGGTGCCCGCGCGCCCCAGCCCGCCCGCCCCGTCGGTGGCGCAGGAAGCCGGCGGCTCCGGCGGCGGGTCCCCCCGGAGAGGGAGCCGCGGTCCCCTCCACCCCCCCAGCTGCCCAGTTATCTCTCCCGAGTCCCAGCGGCTCGGCGAGCCGCGCGATCTCCCCCCCCCCAATCCCTGCCCCCCACCCGCACTCCCCCACCCACCCACCTACTTCCTCCGCTCCGCACACACACAGGCGCGGAGCTGCCAAAAATTTCCACCCCCCGCCCCCCTCCCGCGCGGACTTCCTTCCAGCGTTTCCTGAGCTGGATGATCCTAGGATTTGTAAGACAGGAAAAAAGGCAGGCGCGAGGGCGGGCGGGCGAGGGAGACAGGATGCTGGCCGCGCGTCCTCCCGGAGCCGTCTGAAGGCAGCACCGCGGGCTCCGCGGAGAGGACCCTGCCGCCTCGCCCCGCGCCGGCTCCCCGCGCCCCCGCGCCCCCCGCGCCCGCTCCGGGCGCCCCGAGAGGCGGAAAGCCGCGCTCGCCCTTCCTCCGGGCGGGCGGGCGGGCGGAGGAAAACACCCGAAGACACCGCAAGAGCCCGTGAAAGTCCCCGGGACGCCCAGTGAGGAAGTGACACTCCCTGGCGAGCCAGCCCCCGGCTGCCAGCTCCGCACGGCCCGCGGCCCGGGAGGAGCGCGTCCCCGGCTCCGCTCCGCGCCGCCCGCGGGGTCCATGCGCCCTGCCCCGGGCCCCAGCGCCTCTGGACGCCCATGCGGCCCCCACGCCGAGCGGCAGCCGCTGATCTAGCCCCGGAGACCGGCTCCGGCGCGGTGCCAAGCAGGGGAGCACGGAGAGGGGAGCACGGAGGGGCACCCTCTTCGGGACTAACTCATGAAGAACAAGGGTGCCAAGCAGAAGCTGAAACGAAAGGGAGCCACCGGCGCTTTCGGCTGCGACCTGACGGAGTATCTGGAAAGCTCGGGACAAGATGGTAATGTGCCTTCGCCTCTTTCCCCCGCAACCCCCCACCCCCTTCTTTTTGTTTGAGAGAGAGAGATGGACTCTCCAGGGGTGCGTTAGATTCAATCCACAAGTTAATGTATTCCAGGCCTGCGTGCTCATTGTACTTTACTTTTTTTTTTTTTAAAGAACAATACGATTCTTAGGGTGCACAGCGCTGCCACCCCGACGCGCAAAGGTGGTGTCAGTCCTTCCGTCGGTCTCACAGAAGCCGATAATGGGCGTTGCTGCCCCGGTTTCACTGGGTCCTTCTGGGAGGGGGGGGGGGGGGGTAGGGCTGGGAACTCCAGAGACCTTGATCTCAAACTTTGGATTAGGGGAGAGGAGGGATGCGGGCTGGGCGTGTGAGGTGGGGATCAGTTACGACCACAGCTATGACCACCTTGGGTGTCCCTCCCCAGCTCTCCAATTTCATCGCTCACATCTTTTTTTATTAATGTGCTGGAAGGCAGGGGGTGCGGTGGATCCTGGCCGGGGGAGTGGTTGCACAAACATTTTCTGAATTTCTGAACTGATGCCAAATATACAGTACCTCCCTCCCTCTCCTTCCCAGTCCCCCAGCCCCTTCACCTCCTCTGGGCTCTCAGATCAGCATTTGGTGTGCCAGACGAGAAGGGTGTTGTAAAAAGGTCAGAGGGCCTCGGTTCCAAAATAGCGTAGGGCATGTCCAAGAAAAGGAGAGGGTCTCTGTTTTCAAGGTCAGATTGTAGGGGGGAAAAAGTAGAGGGAATCCTTAGCGTAGAGACAACTTAAACATTGGGCAGGGGAGGGGGAAAGAAAAACAATCTGAAAATACAATACCGGCATTTGAGATTAGCCGTTTTTAATCATAGGAAAGTTGGGGAAATGGGGCATTAAATGACTCCTTTTTTGTAAGGTTGACTGGCCCGGCTTTTACCCTGGATAAAAAGGCCTTGTCTTCAGGAACTTCAGGGAAGAAACCGCCCACTATACGGCCCTGTGCTTATACGTAAATACAACAAAAGGGCAACTCAAGGGCTGCTTAACTGTGCGGAATTCTGCCTCCAGGAAAATTATCTCAAGAAATGATGTGATTAGCTCATATCATATGTGCAGATCAAAAACAGTGCAAGGCTTTTGTCTCAGTTCTGGTGTTTTAGAGACTGAGCAGCACCTAGTAATTTGCAGTGGTGTGATATTCCTGTGGTATTCTGGAGTTCAGAGCCTCCTATGTCATTAGGACAAATGGCTCAGTGTTTTAGAGCTGGGGCACCATAGGTTTTGGAAGTGAGGCATAACTGAGTTCGTGCGTTTCATCCTTTCCAACCATCCGGAGAGGCACATTTGAAATCACATGGCTGGGATTGAGGGTTTTTTTTTGAAGGTGTGAGAACTCAAGTACAGTACCCTCAGAAATTCAGAATGAAGTTTCCCTCCACCTGCTTTTCCTGGGGCCTTTTGGTCACTATCCAGGGACACTCTCAATGCTCCTGACAATGCCATCTGCCATGACGTGGCGTTATGTGGGGCCCTCCCTCCAAAGCTGTGAGAATTGATTGCATGGGGTGCTCCGCCATCCTGCCTCCAAGAGCCCCAGGGTTCTGTGGAGATACCTCAGAAGCACCCTTCAGCAACTTTGCTTTCACTTGCTTTGTATCTTGGAGTTCCATATGTGGGGAAAGGATGGGGTTACTGCTTAAAGAGAAAAAAGAAATTGAAAACCAGGCCCCAGTGTTCCCTGCTCTAGAGAGGAGGGGAGGAAGCCCAGAGAGGTGAACCGGCTTGCCTAAGGCCACACAGTGAGTCATGAAGGCTGCAGAGGGTCCTGGCCTGTCAGGCACAACTGTCTAGGCCATGGCTTCCATGTCTAGGTCAACAGTCTCCTCTAATGGTCCCCCATCCCCCAAATAGAAAACAGACAGCCCTGCCTCGGGATCAGCAAGCTTTCAAAACCGACTGACATATCTGAGTTCAGCTTTGAAATGAAAGGAAACTGACTTACTGAACGATCCATGCACCATTATTGTGCCCTCTGGGAATTGGGCACACATCATAAATTGCTTAAATAAATGTGTGTCTTTTAAAAAAAATTGCTTATATAAATGAAAGTAATTAGGATTTCTGTTTCCCCCCATCTAAAACTAATTAGGTAATTGTCTCTTACATTTGTTATAGTGTAGAATCAACAACATCAGTGCTAATGTTTTCTCTAAAACAGTGTATCCTCCTTACGGGTTTTCTGAAACATGTACTGCCTGACAGACAATGAAGTCCAAGGCCTGGACTCTGCCTCCAGGGAGAAAAAGCTGACTAACATACCTCAGTAGAGGTCAGCTTTGAACTGACACTGTCCGTGATCTTAGATGTTCAGCCCAGAATCCTGAAGATGACAAGTCACTGTGCTAACTAGGAGCCCGAAGGCTGGGGAGGACCTCCGCAAACTGTCATCATAGTTAGTTAACTTTTGAGGGCAAGTGTACAATGATGGTAAGAGACAGAGAGCAATGGATCCGGGTCTAGGAGTATACGGCAGAAGGACAGAACAGAGATATAGGGAAACCAAGGGAGCCCCTGTGCTTGCCCAGGGAGGGGAAGCCCCGAATTAGGGTGGAGGACAAATCTGGTGACAATTAGCTGTGCTCAGGCCATCTGAACATGGGGAAGCGATACTCCTGAGTCCGAGCACAGAAGATGAATGTCATCTACTTGTGTAACTTGCTGTGGCTCAGCCTTGTTACCTTCAGTTGCACAAATCTGACAGGGCAGTGTGTGTGGGTGACAAATAGGTGTTCAGCTTACAGCGGAAGTTGCTCAGGGCCAGTTGTCATCCTTAATCTTTAGGAAGCTGACGAAAAACAGGAACCCTTTTCCTTAGGAAAACACACAACTCTCATTGTGTGTATGGTTTCTGTGGCATTCACACAGATGCCAAGTTCAGACCCTGTGGATTGTCCCTCGCTGCTCCCAGGCCTGAGGTGAAGGACAATGCCCCCCTTTTGCGTATTTAACCACTTTGCTCCGGCCTAGTGAGAACACCCAAGAATGGCATGGGGTTGCTCCCGGCCAACTTGGCAGGAGCCTCTCTGGCTTCCCCTCCAGCACAGTGGCTGCTGCCCCAACCCCCAGCTCTCCCCTGGGAACCAGATAACTTTCTCTTCCTGTCTGGAATAGAGGGAGCAGATCATCCCTTCCTCACCGCTACTGCTGAAAATAGTCCTTTTCTCTTTCTTCTGTTTGACCACTGAATACGAAGGCCCTTGCTTGCAGCTATGCCATGAAAACCACATGGTTTTGTTGCCTGTGGTTGGGGGGCTGTGGGTGAAGCCCTGTGAGGCAGAGTGTGTCCGTCTGTCCGTCTGTCCGCAAGCATTTCCTACCTCTCCCCTCTGACCCCAATGTGCTGGGTCCTCCCTTGGTGCTGGGACCCCTGAGAGAGCATTGTCAGGAAAGTGTTCTTCTTCCATGCTTGCAAACAATCTGTGTCATTTTACCCAGACCCTGGTACAAAGTGATATTGCTCTGACCCAGGGTTCACCATGATGGTGGCAGAGTAGAATCATGTAGAGAGCCAAAAAAAAAAAAAAAAAAAAAAGTTAATGCCCAGGCCCCCTCTCAGACCAATTACATCAGAATCTCTTGGATCCCAGCCATGGGTAGGGTTTTAAAAGCTAGGTGTTCTGAAATGCGGGCAGAGTTAAGAACCACAGCAAGTGAATGGGGTTTATAGACCATTTCCCCCTAGATAAGCAGCTTAAACCGCTCAAAATGCACCCTCTGAATGTTTGATAAGAACTGTGAGCCCTTTTATTTCTGAAGATGTTTTTCTAGTTGTTATCAAATTGAAAAAGAGAAAAAATATATACTTGATTTGATGGATGACAACAGATTCATAGTAAATACATAAATGCCCATTATAAGTATAATTTTACATTCGATGAAAATAAGATAGCCCCATTATTTCAGAGAACAAGGATAAGGCAATGAGTACTTTTAGATGTAGCTGTTCTATTTTCCAAGGCTAAATTGTTCTATTTAACAACTACATCTTAAGGCGCTGTGCTAGGTTCTGTGGGAGAGGAAGGGTGGTGTACTCCAGACTCCCTTCCACAGTCTACGGGATGGGAACAAACTTGTAGAAACCAATTAAGCTTTGAAATTGGCTGTCAAGACCAAGGAGAAGAATGTGAAAGCTTTTATACACATTAAATAGACGAGATACCCAAACATAAACAGGAGCAAAGTCTTAGCAAGGAAGGTAACTATTTTTTCTGTTCAAGATAAGATTTAACAAACGCAGAACCAGGGCTGGCTAGTCTCTTTGGCTTCATGGTTTCCCTCCTAGAATCGTGCCAGGCACATCATTATCGCACCTTCCCTGGCTAACTCTTCATCCTTGAGTCTCAGCTGCTTTTGGAAAACTTCCCTGGTCTTCCCAAGTCAGGTGTCCCCACTGGGGTCTACCATTAGGAGTTCCAGAACCTCACCGCTTGTGATAGAATCCCAACGTTGCCTGTCCCCCGCTGAGTGACCCTGGAGCAAGTTATTTCTGAAATGAGGATAGGAGGTCTGATGAGAAGATAAATGAGTTCATATGGGCAAAGCACTTAGCAGAGGGCATGCATATAATAAGCTACAAATGTAGCTATTATAATCCTGATACCCTGGGCTCGCCTTACCATCCATGACTGAATGAGGGCTCCAAAGAAATGAGTAAATGATATGGTCGTATGGGTTGATCAGTCACCACAAGGAAGCTGATTGACTGCCCCTTTGAATGGAGGGGCTTTCACAGGACTACTGTGAGTGAAGACCACCCCAGTGTGTAATAGTGGGAGAGAGCCATGTCAACCTGAAACTGAAGATCTGAGAAAGACACCCCGCCACTCCTGGACCCATCGGGAACCGAAACAGAAGATAAGACCTGGAGGTGGGGTTTGTGAAGACAGAACAGCAACCTTGTGGGCTTGGGTGTCGAGGGGCATCCCCAAATCTGGGCTCTCCCGAGTGAAA